CCGCATCACAAGAATTAGAAGTCCCGCTGGAAATGCGACCAATCAGATAACGAATCTTTACTACATGTGGATTACAAAACAAAATATTAACGGCATGTTCTTTCCTTCTGCCAGACATGTTTGGCTTCTTAGAAGTTCCAGAAGCGCTTTATCTTATCATTCCATCCCTGCTTTGTTTTCGGATCTTCTACTTTTTCACCAAATTATTCATTCCTGTTCCAAAATCACTGCACGGTTCCTTTCGGAACCAATGGCTTTACCACAACACCGTGGTTTCCCTTGGTCACTCGTGCATTTCATCTGTTTTGGCAGTATACTGGTAAGCTAAACTTCATTTCTATGTCATGGTTATCTTTTTACCGGCGTTTTCAGTTTATTATAAGAAGAAAATAATGCGTTTGAGTCGAGAACAGGAGATTACCTCACGAAATATCTACTTCTATAGTCTACAGAGATCCACCGCATGCTAATACACCTTATTCCAAAATGGCCGCTATTTAAGTATTCTTTTATTTACTTGCAAATTAGCCCTTGTTGCCTCGTTCTTGAACTCTAAATTCAAAATAATATTTTCCCTTAAACGAGGCAACAAGGGCTCATTTTCAAGTAAACAAAAGAATGCTAAAATGTCGGCCATTTTGGAATAAGGTGTATAAAGCTTAATAAATATTAACTAACTCGTGGTGATAAGGAAATGCCGGAAATCAAGGATGAGTTCTGCGATGAAATTTCTTTCAAACTTTGCAGCTTTTACGATGAACCGGCGATGTTTACAGACATGATTAGGACTTGGAGCAGGCTTCCATTTTACGTTGTCTGTTTCTCTACAGGTAAACAATGTCTATAATTTGTTATAAACTTTTATAAGCTACACTGCTAAAAGCCAGGAGGTCATTTATATGGAACCAGACGTAGAAAATAAACCTATATATTTGCTTATCTTTGGGTTTGCATTGACTTACAGCAAATGAAAGGTTTAGACTTTCAACTGGTTTAATAAAAGATAGAGACTTATAATGAGCACTGGTTTACATACGTTAATTCCAGATCACATATGCAGGATATTTTATCGTGCACCAATTCGGTCTTAGATGGTTACCACTCGGCCCGGTCCCCTCGGGCGCCCATCGTACACAGATACTGTTTATCATGAGAAGGCCATTAAACGACGGTAAAACGAAGTTGGCGTGCATCTAAACTTCTTGCTGACTGGAAATTACAAGTATATATATGCTCTCTGGTAAACAAGTTAATTTTTGATTTTAAAATATCGATCCTAACAAAGGCTATTTGAGGCTATGTTGCTGCCGCCAATACTGCCGAAACACTTTACAATATAAAATCGCTGGACTTTGTTAAATATCTTTTAAAACCACGTCTTTTAAAAGAAGCATTTATGCAAGAATTAGTGTGGAAAATTATCTCTGTTTTTCCGTTATCTAATTTGTAGATATTTTCTTTTATCTTTCTCCTTACGTCTTGTCAAGAGACGATGATCTAGATCATCGATCGTCTCTTGGTTTCATAAAGAGAGTATAAAGTGCCTTTTACTATTATTATTATCATTATCATTATCATTATCATTATTAGTAGTAGTAAATATATGAAAGGGTTGCTGGTCATAGCACTGAAAAACTGAATTTATGATGAATCCTCTCCCAATCACAGTAGATAAAGTTTATGTAACAATAAATTTCGATTCCTAGCTTTTAGACTGGCGATTGATGTGACTGATGCCTTGCGGGACGCTCAATTTTGCAGAGCAAAAAGCAATTCGCCGCAGCAGAAAGATCCAGAAACTGAGCGCTAGTTTTCACCGGAAGATTGCATTAGCCATGATTCGTCGGACGTCAGTTTCCAACGGCAACCATCAAAGTTACCACAAATGCGGGAATCCTGACTCTGTAGCTTTTTTAATTTAATCTTAACCAAATTTTATATTTATGTTTTGTATATTTAAGGTGTTTTTCCTCCCTCTCTTAGTTCTTTATTTCTTGAATTTGATTACAGAGCCTTCCGGACGGTCATCTTAGCAAAGTAGATTCTCTCTGCCACAAATTATAATTTAGCATTTCAAAGTCTTCAATTAATTTGTGTTGTCTTGCACACGGCTTGTATGCGATATCTCCGAATTTGAAACATTTTCCCTGTGGGGAACGTTGTTGTAGACAACGGTATATGATGCAAATTGTTTATGATTTTGACACAGGCGGCAAGCACATGTCATGTGGGTTGGCCCTTAGTTTACAGCAATCTGTTTCTCAGTAAGGTTGCCACATTTGGTATCTTCAGAACATTTTAGTCATTGTTTATTCAGTCTTCTTTACTAGCCTAACGATAACTTCCGATACTTCTTCACCGGGTGTGTTGCCGTGGCTACGGATGGCGCTACCCTTTTATTCGTTCTTCGTGTCGGGCTTTGGCGGTTTCCTCCCTCAGCTGGGCTTATACTTTGGTATATTTGTAATTTAAACTTTCTCAGCTTGCTATAAAAATAAACGGCCACACCTGTGGCCAACAAAGTATGAGGAACAAGATACGTAAATTAATGTTAACATTCTGTAACCGTTAATTTCAGAGACTCCTTTTTATACTGAAGACGACAAAAACTCATACGAGGTTGATCTTCTAATACATTAAATTAAAAACTACAGCATCGCGAAAATTTAGTACGTACATAGACATTTGTGTTCCTACCAAAACGAAACAGCCACATTTGTCTCTATATGATTAACCAAACAGTTCGATTTCAAAAACAAGCGACAAAGCGACCCCAGGCACTATTCATTAACTTATGACCTCATTCTAACGTTTGGTTATGTTTTCGCAGAGTATTTTATCCATGATTTTGTGGACGTGGTGCTTAATGACCTTCAAAACTCACCTGGTCTGTTATTTCACCACGTCCTGGTAAGGTCATCTCTACAATTAGCAATATAAAAGAGTTGAGTCAATTTGCGTATTTTCAAAGAAATGGATAACGTTGGACAAGGGTTTGAGAGAACAAAATCTAGTTGAGAAATAATTGAAAGTGTCAATTTGTACAAATTTTTGTCACTAATTGTGCCTCTGCATACAGTCCTGGAGAGAGGCACGGTGGCCTCATGGTTAGTGCGCTCGACTCCGGATGGAGCTGTCCGAATTTGAGCCCTAGCTGGGAACACTTTACTCTCACAGTGCCTCTCTCCACCCAGGTGTACAAATGGGTACCGGGGAGTTTAATGTCCTGCGATCGCGATGGACTAGCATTCCATCCAAGGGTAGACTAGAAAAACTCCTAGGCGCTGCATGTTACAGAACTCGGGATAGGCACTTGCCTGATGGGCCACTTGGCTCGTATATCGACTGTTTTTTATACAGTCCTGAAAGTGTAACTGATGCCTCAATGCGTCTTGTTAACCAGTAGCGTTAGCCGTATATAACACTGACATGTGTTGATTTCCCGTATTTCACTTCTAGAGCTGCGTGGCGTGCATCTTCTCGACTTTCTCGCAGTTGTATCTGGCGTTTCCTACTTGTTTCCTGCTTATGTAGATCAACAGTGTATTCCTTCATGTAAGAAGATTAATGCGCTATCATCAAATGCACATGTTCAGTCATTTATACCGATTCAATTTGATGTTGGTACTTGCCACGTTTGTTGTTTTCCGGTTTATACCTGTCACCTGCATGGAAGAAATAGTCATCACACATCAACACGATCTCTGTTTACCGCGTTTTTTGTTCGGACTTTTTGGTATCGGCGGAATGACAATAGTCAATGTTTTCCTTTTTACTTCGTTAGTCAAAGCCGATTTTAAGGGAAAACATTATATGCAAGAAAATATGCAACACTGTTGACTCGTTCACACATTGAGTTCCAAATGAGGTAGTAAAGTTATAAATACAAGTGTAAAATTTTGCAAGAAATAAACACAATGAACAGCAATAAAATTAGTTGTTTCTTACCTACATACGGCACTCCTTTTTAGTCTCCAATGGCCGCGCATACATATCGAAAGTGCATATCAATTCTGGGAAACAGACCATAGCTTACACAGCGACTATTCTCTGGGACAATATCCCCACTCACCTTAAAGATTCCAATGCCTTCAACTTCTCTAAGCAAATGAAACTTTATTTACTGCCTGAGCAACATTGCGAAAACTTGTAATATTTTCTCCTTTCCATTGTACTATGTACGCAGTTCTGTATTTTATAAATATCCTGAATATCTAAAGAAACACTGCAATAACTGGAGACAGACTAGAAACGTTTAGGGTTACTTCAGTCTCCAGGCCCAAATTGTACATTTTTTTCCTCTCTCTCTCTCTCTCTCTCTCTCTCTCTCTCTCTCTCTCTCTCTTCCGTTTCTACACGTTCTGTGACCACTGACCAAAAACCACCAGGGCTCTAGGGACGACATTGCTACGAGTAAAGGCTTTCTCTTTCCTCTCACCCACGAAGAAGACAGTCTTACAGAGTAACAAACTGTTAAAGTTACGATTGAGCTTACATTGATAGCAGTGATGCGGCGAAATATTCAAGCTTACCATAAGTACCAGAAGTATACTTCAAAAAATATAAGGGCTGTCAATCAACCCTTTATTACTGCGCTGAGGTAAAATTACGCCAATTTACGGCAGGCTTGGTATTTGAAGTAAAAAAAAGAGCTGACAGCTTGGAAAATTCAATGAAAGATAACCAGCAATCGAATGGGTTAACACGCTGAGACACAAGAAAGGTTCATTGGTTCTGCTTTTTTGTCTCTGCGTCGAAAAAAGTCGCAGAGAGGCATCGTGGCCGAGTGGTCAGCGCGTCGGACTCGCAATCCAGCTGTCCCGGGTTCGAGTCGCGAACTGATCCCTTCCAGAATTTGTTTCACGGCAGCCCCGAATTCAAATCCTCAGCCACGCTTGAAAATATGTTCAATATGAATGAAATTTGCTCGGCCCCACTAGCCTTTTTGTGTTACAAACACTGCCGAGGCTAAATAATGGATATTTATTTATTTATTTATTGTTATTTTTGGATTGACATGAGCAACTCATTTGGACACACATAGTTCTTGGCTCTCCACTCAATACGATGCTACTCCGCTTAGCTCTCGGGTCTCTGGCCTCTGGTCAATGGTATTTACTGAATTTAGCCCAATCCGCGAATGAGCCTTATAAACCCTTATAAAATATAATCATTCTCATCCTAGAAACCAAAGCGACTGACCTAAACCAAAGCTGAGCCGTGATCAGGAATGACCTATGCCAAAAAATACAAGATTACGTCTATGCCAACTGTTCCTAGCACAGACAGGATCTCCCAGCTACTGAAAGCGTTCAGAGTGCATTTTTCACTCTTATTTAGGCCAACTTTGGACATTTTTGGGGGGTAATTTTGGAATATTTTGTGCCTTTTTGTGGTTCTCTACTTTGAAGGTTTTTTTGGGTTGGCTTCTCAGACGGATCGTACGTCAATATGGTGAATTCCAGCCGCTTTTCACTTTGAAATCCACTCGGAATGTCTTTGGCGTAACCTACATAAAATGCATCCGGAAACGGCGAAATATGGCCCACAGATTAGTTTCTGCTCCTGTTTATAGAAGATCAAGATAGCCGTTTCAAATCGGAAGAAAATCTTTTCACATGGCAATTTGATTGGCTCTTGAAAGTAGCCCTAATCTGATTAGTGTAATAATATTAATTAAAAACAATCTCGTGGCATGCGTAGACGTCCCTCCCTCTGCCTGTATACACCATCGCGACACCTGAAAGGTATTTTGGGGGAAAATTTATTCACAAACCAATTACCGTCAAAATTTTCAGTTACACGTCAGGCATCCCTTGATGACACAAAACTGAGATGTTGCTGGAAACACAGACGATTACGTAAACTAGCTTGACCAGTGAACGTATGGCGTCAAGTAGATTACTATACAAAACATTAACATGTCCTTTCCAGAAGCACTTTATTTCATCATTCCATCCCTACTTTGTTTCCGGATCTTCGCCTTTTTGGTCAAACTATTCATTCCTGTTCCAAAATCACTGCACGGTCCTTGTCGGAAGCAATGGCTTTACCACAACACCGTGGTTTCCCTTGGTCACTCGTGTATTTCATCTGTTTTGGCAGTGTACTGGTAAGCTTAAGTTCATTTCTATGTCATGGTTATCTTTATCAGCGAAGTTAAATCGGCGTTTGCAGTTTATATCAGAAGAAGATAATATTCGTTTTGAGAATATGAGATTGCTATAGAGAATATCTATTTGTACAGTTTACAGAGATCCACCGTATCATATAGATATTAAAGGGGCTAGGTCACGCTATTTTAGGTAATTTTGTTTAATTTTCTTAATTATGAGCTCTAAACGTCAAATTAGCGGAGCAAAAGTCTTTCATTTGCAAAATCACGCCCACATAACAACTGAGAATGATTTCCAGCTGTGTAAATGACATTTTGATATAAGCTGATATAAATTTGAAAAAGGTGGGCCGACGTTTTTCAAATTTACCCAAATGCATCCATTTTAATCCTCTCCAGTTTTGTCCATCCATGTCCCTTTTTGGCTTTCCTGTGTTTTGATTGAGATCCTCTATAGTTTTGAGCCGTTTTTGTGATATTTTAGTTAATTCTATGACCATCTGATCAGTGCTGAAATTGCCTAAAATTGCGTGACCTAGCCCCTTTAACTAACCCGTGGTGATAAGGAAATGTCTTGAATCAAAAATTAATTTAGCGCTAAAATTTCTTTCAAACTTTGCAGCTTTTACGATGAACCGGCGATGTTTACAGACATGATTAGGACTTGGAGCAGGCTTTCATTCTATGTTGTCTGCTTTTCCACAGGTAAACTATAATTTAGTAATTGTTTGGCTGGGCCGTTGTTAAGATATTACACAGGTTGTAACTGCTAACAATTGGGGCCGGGTTTCCCCGAAATGCCTTTTTAAGCATTTAAAGCTTAGTTAATGCCGAGCTGGCTGGCAAAAACTCGTAAACTTAAATGTTAACGCGAGCCATATGATAAACTGCTCTCAAGTTCGGACCTTACTGAGAGAATATCGCCCTCGACCTTCCTTCAACGGATCTGGTTTCGCGAGGTCCTCCAAGAAGACCCAAGGCACAATTCTCTTGTGGTGCAGTTAACAAGAAGCTTAGCAAACCTTTTACCGAACGGTTGTGCTTGTGTGCTCGAAGGCACTTCTTAAGTAGAGTCAAATGTCTGGAGGCATGCGCGATTCACAATTATCTTTATCAGAATGCTAATTTTTCGCTTCGTGACGTTAAACGTATAGCAAGTTGCTTTGGATGTATTTTCTATACCAAGTTTGCGTTGGATGTATTTGTTTTCCTTCAAATATGATCTGGAATTAATTATAATCTTACATTGTTTGAATGGCACAAGACGTAACCCCAACCCTAACGTTAACCCTATCCCCTTCTTCTTCGACCACAACCCTATGTGGGTATAGGGCCAGGATCCGAGCCCCTAAGGTGGAACATATTAGAGCAATTCATTTAATTATAATCTATTGCCCCTGGTGAAATAGAATTTCAAAAGAAGCATATGATCAAACCCTCGGCCCCTGGTTATATTGTGCAAAGTGAATTATTCAGTACTCCAATCGAGTCAATAACACGACAGGAAAATAAATTCAAACTAAAAAAAAAAAAGAGAAGAACTGATTTGTAAAATTTAATGAATGAAAATAAATGATAAGCTCCCACGGAGTACACATCAAAAGTTGAGTCTGACCGAGGAGTCGGATCGGATAATGGGTTGAGTTAACAAAGAAACTAAAGGAACTTAAAGGCCCGAACTAATCATGAGCCCGGCTCGCTCCAGGTGCCCTTTCTATTACAAGTAGTTACCTGAACGATGCTGTTCACTCAAACCTGAGGAGCGGTTCTAAATCATGATTGTTCTGAAAAAATCCAAGGAACGGCTGAGATTTATTGATTAGTCCTCTCGCTATCACAGATGATAAAGTTTGGTTGTAACAATAACTAGAGATGAGTCGTAACCAGTTGCTGGTACGGTATTCATCGACATCCCACCTCACCGTGTAGCGTTTGTTACGAGTATCGTTGTAGAGCAGGGTTGTTTGCAGATAGAACTCAGGATCGCCGGTAACAGCAACGAACTAATTTATTTCCGTAAGATAACTTCACGAATTTACAGCACTAAGCTTCTTCAAATTTGAATCAATCTCTTTTTTCAGCAGAACCTCTCGCTCTAATATACATGAGGCTTAAAGTTCTAGAAACTTCTATTACAAGYTAAATTAAGTAGTTTGACACAGTTTCTAATCTGAGTAAGTACATAAGGATTAGAATGTTCTGGAATGTTCTTACACAAATTGGTCACGGCTGAATGACTTCCGATTCTAGATTGTTCTAGAACTAGACTTAGACAATTTTTCGTAACAGCGTTAAAATTTGACAACTGAGCACAGGATCATTGTGGAATCGTTTGAAAGTCTCCATGATTGCTCGTTAGTTTACACAAGTGTTTACACACGAGAGATCTCGGGAGTGCATGCACAGAAGAACTCGTAAGTTCGCATCGCCGCGTTTATTTGGGAACAAGAAACCGTGACTCTTTAGCTATATTTCAATTTTATACATTTATGTTTTGTCTATTTAAGGTGGTAAGGACCTCCACTTAGGAAATTCACTAATTATTTTTTAGAAAAAAGTTGTTACTTTGTTTTCGCAGGTTATTTTCTCCATGATTTTGTTGACGTGCTGCTTAATGACCTTCAACACTCACCTGGTCTGTTATTTCATCACGTCGTGGTAAGATAATCATCACAATTAGCGTAAAAGGTAAATACCAAGAACCCTTCAATGGGTTTAGAAAGGGTTCAATTCGACCAGATGGGATCAGACACACAAGAAACCAGAAAGGTCAGAAAAGGTCCAAAACTATTGATAATACATGACACTTCTATTCGATCTAATATGTTTGTCACATAAATATCAACAAACTAAATCTTTATAATATTCAAAACGAATGTATCTGCTAAGAGGAGGTTGTGTCCCTAGCCTTAAAAATATCTTGATGTAACAGGTTAAGCTAAGGTTTTTTCTCTCCGACTGGAAATCTGCGCTGGGCCCTTACAGGCGCGTTCGTTCTTTACGTTATACATCGGGATTGCGATGTCTTAAAGTAAGCGATTATTTAGTATTGCAGTATACGGTAAATTAGCCTTTTTAGGAGATCATCATAGCTTGCGTTCCTGTCACAAAAAATGGTTCGTAGTGCTTTTTCTTGAGACGCTCTTATTTCCTGGTGTCTGTTGAACAACTGAGACGCCATACTATGGGGTACGCGATACCGACAGTGGTGGTTTTTCCATAATATATTCCTTGGTTCGTCTTAAGTTTGCTTGCCTTGGCTAATTAAACACAACTAAAATATGGCGACCCCGACGTGTGAACGAAGCTTCAGAGGGAAGTCAACGCTTTTTCGGCGATACGGACGATCGAAAGGACATCGCACCATTTTGATTCCGTCTTCGATCAGATCACATACACAATAACACGGTGTTCCGTAGCAGGACTTTACAGGAAAAGGTACCTCGGACACTTCTGACAAGTGGTAGTTGACAATTTTGCTATCATCATCATCCATCATCCATCATCATCATCCATCATCCATCATCATCATCCATCATCCATCACCATCATCCAT